ACGTCTAATGCACACGAACACTCAGCTTCACAGTTTTTGCATTTTTTCAGTCTACGAATAAGAACCCCTCGGATCGTGTGCCCACCGATGCTCTTTAGACAGGCTCCAAGAAGGGTTAATATAGTTAATTAAAGCTAAATTTAAACAAAAGTATAAAAATATTTCCATTACTTACATAAAATAAACATCAACTGAAATGAAATAAAATACAAAAAGTTTTATTTCAGCTAGTTGCAAAGGTAACATTTCTCATTTTAATTTAGTTTAACTTGATGTACTAAAATGCAGTTTTGCACGCTCGTGAATCATCTCATGACTAAGTGTAGACGCGATGTAAATAAGAGATTCATTGTGTAGTTTAGAGAGCTTCATTGATTATAACGGAACTTTGTAAGATAGCGATGAACGAAGATGAGTGACGCTTTTTAGTGATAAAGGGAGCGCGCTTTGCACACTTTCTATGGTATAATCCATTCAGAATTTGTATGAAACTTTCATTTTTTGGACAGATGGGCTACACCCTGCAAAGTTTCGGGAATGACATCCGCATACTTATGCGTGATTCACTTTTGAAATAGCAGTGATTGGCAATGGACGGAACATAAAATATGTTGATTTAATTCTGGAACCGGTCCTGGCCAAACCTCCACAGACAGCGCGCATCCCGAGCGAGATCTAATTCACGGACCAAAAGCGTGTGTAAACTTGATTGAGATCGGGACATATCAACCAGTAATTTCATTTAATTTCCAGTAACGGATGGTAGAAAGTTCAGCAATGAATGGTATGAGATTTATAGTCCCACAACTGATCGTTTATTTTTTCCTCATGTGTCTCGTCTTTGGTAACAACGATTCAAAACGACACGGAAAACTTCAGTGAACATCAGAAAAGCAGCGTGCACATTTCTGGTTAAAAATGAAAGGCCATCAAATGACAAATGGGAAGCATCACCATTCAAGTCAACAGGAAGAGCCAAAGCTAGTCCACAGTTTACTAAATGGTGGCAACCTCTTAGTTATTCTTGACTGTGTTGTAGAGGTCTGCGCGGGACTATATTTTTAGTCCCGCTCCCGCAAGGTTATATACCGCACCCACCCGCTCCCGCTATATATTCACTCTTTGTTCACCCGCTGTCCGCTTAGAATAATTTTCTTCCCGACCCGACTGTTCCCGCTAAATTTAGATCTCGTTTCCAGAATCTCATTTAAATTTCCTCTACTGAAAGAAAGAGAGATAGGCTAACAAATAAAGTTTTCTGTTAACACAGTACGAAAAGTGTCGCAGAGAAAAATAAATACGACATCTGTCATTCAAAATTATAGGCCAAGCAAAATATAAACAAAACAGTTAAACGTCCTTCAAGGACAGCACTTTGCTCCATCCTTATTCTGCTGTCACTCATCGACAACCTGCCTGTTCTGTCTGAGGGCCGTATATTTACCACCAGGCACCAGCACAACCTGCTCTGAGCATAGTTATGCACATGCTGTGCACAGACCCCGCAAATAAAACGTGTAAAGCAGAAAGCATGCGTGCAGCCAAGAAGGGTTAATATAGTTAATTAAAGCTAAATTTAAACAAAAGTATAAAAATATTTCCATTACTTACATAAAATAAACATCAACTGAAATGAAATAAAATACAAAAAGTTTTATTTCAGCTAGTTGCAAAGGTAACATTTCTCATTTTAATTTAGTTTAACTTGATGTACTAAAATAACTAAAACTACTAAAAATGATAAAGACAACAAAATCACTAAAATGTAACTAAAATTTAAATTAAAGGATATATTAGAATAATAACCGATTCAAAATATTACTAAAAACTATAATAGTATCTCAATGATTTGAGCACTGGCTCAAAGTAGTCACAGAATTACCTTTGGAAATAATGCAAAATCAACCATGGTAAAGAATGACTTTATAATTGCCTAACAAAGTCTGGTATTAGTTGTTCAAAGTACACACAAATATGCCAGAGAACAAGTAACTGTGAGCCTTTAAAATGTGTGCATGCCAACATCCTCTATCTTGCAGTGTTTGCTTTGGCATTATGTTAAATGTTGGCCCTTCTAAGAGTTCTACTGAAAAACATTCAACCAAGAAACCAAGATATGCTATAGGCTATATATAGTAATATAATATAGTCAAAACTATCAACTAATTAATGAGCAACTGTTTGGGAAAGATGTTAATGTTTGGGAAAGATGTTAATGTTATTTAGTGTTTAATTTAGTGTTGTACACTACAGTTGAAAATAATCTACTAGTTTAGGGAGTTTTACTAGTAACATTATACAGTACTGTGTTAGGTAAATGTCACTCAATTATAAATTGTAAAATGTTTTGTAACAATTAGCCAAAGCTGTTTAAATATGAAAACAGGCCTACCATGGAGGAAAGAAACAGACCGTGTCCCGTGTTACCGCTGAGCAGTGTTGCCAAGTCCGCGGGTTTCCCGCGGAATTGGGCTACTTTAACACTGTTGCCGTGGGTTGAAGCGACCCCAATAAGGTGATATTTAGGCCCTGGAATGTGAATTTTACTGGAGGGTCCCCGCCGAAAAACGTGTATTTTACACACCCC